AAGCAGCTACATTGACTCGGATGTGAACCACTAAGCATGCTACATTACCACAATACTATAACTCATCGTTCATCAGTAGTTAACTGAATTTTACTTTGCGATCTTAGGTCAAAACTACATTTTTAAAATTTTTAACACTCCCAGTTTCTCTAAATAAAAGAAAACCATGTATGGTGATAATCCGCTTCTATTTCCATCAAAACAACACGTTGCTCATACAAAACTAATAAAATCAAATTATCCGCAGGTCACAAAAAAATAATAGCATCTTTGATTTGGGATTTGAAACACTTAAGAACACTCATCTGCTTAGGAACACTCAGCTAGAGTTTAGGGTTTATGACCACCAAAAAAAAAAGAATTATATCTATACACTAATCACCTCTACTTCTAATTTTTCAATCCATGAATTGATCAAGCTCTTTCCTTTCCACCAAATTCTAACCAAACACCCAACAAAGCTACAAACTTTATCAGCAAACAGGAAAAAAAAAGAGAGGACATTATCCCAAATTAACCACCGACCAACCAAGTAAATACAACACAGATGCCAGCGAGGGGGTTATCTGCAATTTAAAAAAGAAATAGGAGATAATCGAAACAATCACCAGCGGCCGTCGTGGAGAAGGAGGCGGAAGGCGCAGGGCGAAGGGGAGCGAGGGCGCGGAGGCCGAGAACAGCATAAGCGTCAGGAACTTGCCATCCGCGCAAGCAGTACGAAGCCAGATCCCGGCGTACGGCGAGGGGCGGCGGAGTCGCGGCCGGGCGAGGATGCCGGCGTTTCCATCATCGATTTTCGCAAGCAGCGGATCCACCCGCATTGGGATGAGATCGCGAGGTTCTCTGGCTGCTGAGCTCCGAAGACTTTTTGTTTTCTCTTCAACGAGGCCGTGAGAGCGTATTTATTCAGAGTGATGAAAAATTTTGGGAATTTTAATAAATAAAATTCAATATTTAACAATTTTTCTTTTGGGATTTAGGTATAGGTAGCAAATTAGTAATTTTAACAATTTTCGGAAAAAAACGAAAGCAAAAAGCCCAGTAAGCTCAAAAGCCCATTAAACTGTACAAACTGGGCCGTGGCCCATGTGAGTATGACATTTTTCTGATCTAAGGCAGTAAAACCATCACCCTTGATTAGCCCAAAAGCCCATTAAACTGTACAAACTGGGCCGTGGTCCATGTCAGTATGACATTTTGCTGATGTAAGGCAGTAAGACCACCACCCTTGATTAGCCCAAAAGGAATAAAAACATGACCTTTATAATTCATCCCCTTAATCATCACGGAGTAATCAAATCACGCGCGTCTCTCCTTCAAAACTTTAGGTAGGGTCACACAATCATCCGCTTTATTACCCAGCCCTCTGTGAATGTTAGCTCGTAGAAACTAAGGGGGATCCTAATCTTTCCCGTTCTATTATAATATCGATTGTAGTCACATACAGCTTGATGATAAATGTTCCGTGTCTATGACATGTCTGCTTCATAATTTTCAATGATTGATTTGCACCGCCTGTGTTGCTTGCATGAACGAACCTAGGCTATAATGAGCGACTTAGTTCCATAGTCGGTTGATTTGTGCTCGGGACTTGTCCTTCGTACACGAGAGTTCTCCTCGCAAAAAATAAATAAATAAATCACGTTAAGTGGCAATTACATATGAAATGAATAGAATGGATTGTTTTTGTAAACATAAATTGTTAGATCTACATCATAAACTTGAGATCTAAAACCATATAGCCATGATTAATTCAAAGAGATTAACAAAATCAAAAGAGCGGAAGCTTATACCTGAATCCATGGATGAAAACTTGATTTGGGTTTTTGATGATCTTCTAACCTTAGGGTTTCTCCAAATCCGAATTTCTCTAGCTAGATGGGGGTGTAGAGAATTAGAGAATGTAACCCTAGGTTAGGGACCATAACCCCTTATTTATAGATGTTGTACTTTTGTAATTTAGCCCCTCAATAAATTACAATTACAACCTGGTATCTGCACATATGACCCCATGATCATTTAAATACCAAATTAACCCAACTTAATTGATCACTTTAGTGGGTTATCCTGAAAGATAGCAATACACATTGATTAATCATATGTGCCCACAAATAGATTTATTAGATTAAATCCAACATAAATAGATGGTTTTCATCAGAAAATAGTTTGCTCACAGTGTGAAAACTTCCGAATTCAACATTGTCACAATGCGAGCAAGCAAATGCACGGCAATGAGTACCTCAACCACCCCACTTCCCAAAATCAAATTAAACCCACAATCACTAAAAACTTTCACACTCCCCCCCACCATCCCCAGTGCAATGTGCTACGTGTCACTCCCTCGTTCCCTCATTCACAACCCCCGAAATGACCATTTACTCCTTCGTTCCTCCTATATATACTCGCCCTCACTTGTTGTCACTAGCCATCCACCACTTCCAACTCCAAGATAACTCAAATGCGCTTCTCCAAGTGCTCCTCCTTCCTCCTCCTCCTCCTCCTTAGTTCCTCGGCCCACGGCGCCGGGGAATGCGGCCGGGTTCCGGTTGCGAACGTGGCGATCCGCATGGCTCCGTGCGCAGGGGCGTCGCAGAGTGCCCGTGCGCCGGTATCACCCCAATGCTGCGCCGCGGTGGCGAATATTGGCCGGAATCCCAAGTGCCTGTGTGCCGTTATGTTATCTAGTACGGCCAGGAGCGCCGGAGTGAAGCCCGCGGTGGCGGTGACGATCCCTAAACGGTGCAACTTGAGGAACCGGCCGGTTGGGTACAAGTGTGGAGCCTACACTCTGCCGTGAAAACTATATATATATGGTGTATCAAATAAGACAACATATATGTGATGTATGAGTGCATGTATGTAATATCTATAGATATGTGATGGTTAGTGATGAATATGAGTGCATGTATGTGACATCCACATTTATATATGTGATGGTTTATATGAAATATTAGAATGCGTTACTATTCTCGGATCGTAAACGTGTAAATTGCATCTTCTTGTTATGCTATAACCAATGTTTGAAAAAGCTTTTTCCGTAACTTGCTTCGCAACTTTTAGAAAGGGTAAACGCTTTGAAACTCAAGAGTCAATCCATTAATCTCTTGAAGCTTATGCTTTATCGCTTAAAACATAACTAAGTGTGCGCTTAGTGCTTCATTAAGATCCTTTCATTTGAAGCAAGAGAGAAGAAGAAAGAGGAATGAGTTTTTGGGAGTTTTACAAGTTGCTAGAGCTGCAGGAAGAGAGAACAGGAATGTTGGGAATTCGGTGATTCAGCTGGAATGATCTTTGGATATAGTGTTTTAGATGATGTTTTGATGTTAAAAACTTTTGTTGAGTATGTAACTCACTGCTATTTTAGTTTAGTAGTAGTAGATAAATGTTTTGCGAGGTTTATTACTTTGCACAAAAGTGTGTTTTTGTTTGTTTTGTAATTTCAGTTGGGACCTGTGTGCACATTTTTGGTTGGGGATGTGCATTTTATATGTAACAACCAATTTATTAATTTAGCTGATTGGATTACTGGTATGTAATCCATCCTTTTTCTCAAAAAAAACATTAAAATGCCCCTATATATTTTCAATATGACCCTATGGGTGTAAATAAAATATATATATTATGCATGTGCTTAGATTACTATGATTCGTTTCTATACTTCACCTATTTAATTCTTATTTACAATTAGGACATGAATGCATATATTTATAATTATTATACCATTATATATAATATGCTCGTAATTTTTTCAAATTTAAAATTAAAATACTTAAACTCATGAAGTTTTTGCCTCACGTTTTAAAGCTTACGTCTCACTTTATCAAAGGATCTAGAGCTTTCACCTTAGGCTACCGCTTTTTTAAACATTGGCGATAACTATTTTACTTCATGAAATTGACATCGATCATTGATGATATCCATCACTTGCCTTTCATCACTGTCAATTTTTACTTCTATTTGGTGAGTAATACATGTCACTTGTAGATCTTAAGAAAATTGTACAAATCAAGTACCCAACCAAGTATCCAATTTTAGTCAAGATTTAATGACACTAAAATACATATCTATTCAAGCGTTTCTTTCTTAATACAAGCACACCAACAACATTTTCAAACGTCTAACATTATAACAATCACACATAGTAGTCATATTATGTTCACTGATACTTGCACACTTCCCTTACAAACTTCACATCATCTCACATTCATATAATATGACTGATATCTGACTCAATTGCGCTTATTAACAACATTGCACTTCTTTCTGATCTCTCTCCCTTCAACCCCGTCAAAAGATAGTTCTCCGATAGAATCATGATCGCCCTAGAAAACTCCTCGAGAAAATAACCTTCGACTCTTTGCCATCTTCTTAACGAAAGGTCTAGTTTTCTCATCATAATCCAGCTAGTGATCTACGAGGAGAAGGCCCTTGTTACCAAGAATGTTGCGATAATAGTTGTTGTCAAGCTTCATGGGGGTCTCACGGTCATTTCGGACGAATTGCACGACCTTTGAGTCCGGAATTGGGTCCGGACGCTTCTTGAGCATGCCTGGGATGTGGTACGGGTTCAGGTTTGGGTCTAGATCTGGGTAGAGACGGTGCACCAACTTGACACAGCGAGTTCTGCCTACACAGTGTGCTCCTGAGATAGTATACAAGTGAAGATAAATGAGTAGCTAGTTCTTATACTTGGCTAAGTCTTGGCTTAATGCACGAACTATGGATCAATTAGTTACCAAGATTATTTGCATTACTTTTATTGGGTTAATTGCGGATAAACCCCCTTAGTATACCTGCTTTAAACTTACTACCCATCCATTTATATTTTTGCAGATAACCCCCTGAGCGAAATTTTTTTGGCTCTTTTACCCCTCAGTTAACCTACTTGTCAAAAAACAAAAATCTCTCTCTCAGGGTAAAAGAGTCAATAAATTTGTTCAGGGGATCTATCTGCAAGTAGCCCTACTTTTCTCATTAAATAGAATATTATTAGCACATTCTAATGCGAGGGCACTCTTTTGTTCCTTCATATGGATGAGTGCATCATGCATTTGGATGCATGTAGTCTTGCGAAAAGTTATGGATGCATCATGCACCTAGTATCTACATGCATTGATTCAAAAAAGTTTTATACACACACACATACATATGTATGTATGTATGTATTATTTATCTAAGATCTTCCTCTGTCACAACTGTGAACTAATAAATCAAAAGTAGTCATATATATTTATACTATTAAACCACAATGCATGTACAGTGCATATGTGCATTCATGTTTACACACTAGAACTCTCTAATTACAACATAAGTCGAAAGAAGACTAATTTGGTATCAGAGTCATTTAGATCAGCATTGAATTTGCTAAGGGAGTTGTTGCATTATTTGATCCTAAATCTTCAATTTTAGGATACATCATTTTACGTCAAGATTTGAATCTCAAACCTCTTTCACATCCTATGATCCCAAAAATTTTGATATTTTGGCTATTATATTACCCGCATTATGTGTCACATGAATTGTATGTCTTTAGATGCATCATCATGTCACGTATGTGAGAAATTGATGGCAAGGGATGATGTGATGGAATGACAAATTACCAAGGAGAGCTACAACTGCCGGGGTGTCAATGCCAATGGCAGCAAACTTATCCAACACCACAGATATACTCTCATTGTGATCAGGGAGGTCCTGCTCCAAGATATCAACTCTGCTCCTCCTCCATCCCTTCTCCCTGTTTTTAGAGGAATGTACGGTCCACCAAGCTAAAATTTATAATAAATAATATTCCAATAAGTGCTTCAAGAAAAACATAACATAACTCATCAACAAATTAGAGAAGGAATAATTGTAGATACACTATGTAGTTATATAGAGTTTGCTACTTATTAATTCTAAACTTTTTATTAACACTCTGAACTTCTGATCTGAACACGGAGGTATCTCCCATTATCTGTGTCTGTCACATTTCATGTGACATCAATGTGTTGCACAGAGATCCCCGAATATTTTATTGTGTTGCAGAGACCCCTGTTCTCTTAGAGGCAGTGAACATGCATCCAATGCAGTTCAGGTACAGATATGGAAAGATACTCCATTTGGATATCAGGTGATTTAGGTACTATAAGAAAGTCAGAAACAATAAGTGTCTAGCTACATGTAGAATTTTAGACGTAGTGTATCGGGCATATATGTAAATTAATCAACTAAACAAAGTGACACAAAACAAGAGATAGCTGATTTTTCAGCTTAACTACAATAAAGTCTAATGTCATAGGTTCATAAATAAGATTTTTCAGCTTAACTACAATAGACGAGGTGTTTTCTTCAGAAGTTAAAGTGATGGTTGGCACAAATAAGATTTGAACATTACATTTATTTCACAAAGCAAAAAAGCTTTATCATCAAGCTGTAGTGACATTTATAATAGAAGAATATTTCATATTTGCAACTTTTACCGGGTTTGGATGGAGAGTGACCGTTACAATATATATCCTAGAATCAAGGAGAGAATATTTGAAGGATAATGACAGTAATTTACTATATTTAAAAAAAAGTATTCATGACTCTTTTAAGGTATAACAAATTAAAGAAGGCAAAGATAAGGTCAATCATCAAGTATTTACTCTAAGATTCCCTCATTTATGTAACAAAAGAATATTTTTCCATATCTTCCTAAAACATACTTTTATATGAACCAATTCATGAATCCATGAGACAAGTTGCTATATAGATCTCGAGAATGGATTCAGATAGTCTTTAATCACATACATTGTGAATTTGTCCCTTCCACCTTTAGTCAAGACATATATACAAAGTAATAGACAATTAATCAATTATGATTATGATTGTGATGTCTAACCACAATGCAAGAGTACCTGAATCCCTCAAGAATTTTAAAACAAACTACTAAATTTATCAAGCTAATTTCAACATCTTGATAGAGAATTCAAGGGTTACCTCAACAATGCCATCTCTAGCAGAGAGAACCAAAATGTCAGCATAAGAGACCACCTGAGGGCACTCTCTCTCAACAGCCTCCTTGATTGTGTCCAAATACCTGTAATTCCTCATCCCAAAGCTCCTATCACTCTCCTTCTCTGAGAGGGACCTCTCTGTTGAATCAAGCAAAAGGGAAGCATCACATGACTAACCAAATTAAACAAGAAACCTTGATAATTTCATATCACTGCTCCTATGAAAGTAAATTATACAAGTATAGTAAGAGTTTCTGTCCCCCGGACAGTTGATGCATAAAGAAGAAAGGGAATACATATAAAGTTCCGATTTTTCTGACCTGGACTCCACAATCATGGAAGATGTTCCTGAGCCAGGAGAAGGCAGTATTCTTGTGCCTCTTGTAGAGAAGCTGACTTGGTCCCTGATGATGTCCTCAGCCTGAGGGCATGAGTTCTTATAGAAGTTCATTACAAGGCCAGGATCCTCTTCATTGGAGAATGCTAGTGATGAGATGGAGAGGAGAGTAAAGAGGAGGCGGCGGCCATAAGATGAATTTATCTCTCTACTAGATACTAATGGATGTTAGGGTGTGTTGAGTGTGAGTTCATCCAATTGAGTGTGAGTTCAAATTGGATGAATTGTGCTTATATAGAAGGAGGAGTGGGGGTAGATGCAATAAAGAAAGGATTATGACTGAAAATTAAAAGAAATACCACATGATAAATGCCTTTATAAGTAAAAGAATAAATCATGACAAGTAATAGTGTACAACAACATTGAATCACCAAAAAGAAAAAAAAACAGATAATTGAGAAAATCATCTCCAAATCTCCTTCCAACACTTCTCAATCCCCTTTCTCACCCTCCTACTATTACAAACCCCTCTCACAACCATATCCAAAGTTGAAACTTCAGGAACCAAATATTTCCCAATCATAACACCAAAAATTTCAGCAGCCCCCTCCATTCTCCCTTTCTTACAAAGCCTAACAATCAATCCATCCAAAAACTCCCTCCCTTTTCCCTCCTCATCAACCAACACCTTCATGAATATGTTACAAGTTACAATATCTGGGTCACAACCCAAATCTAACATCCTATTCAACAAGTCCATAGCTTTTGCAAGCTTTGCATCCTTCAAAAACCCATCAAACAATATGTTATATGTGACTACATCAGGTTCAACATCTTTTATTGCTAACATATCGTTAAACATTCTCAAACCTCCCTCCACCATTCCAGCCCTACACAATCCTCTGATCATTGAGCTGTATGCTACAATATCGGGCTTGCAACCTTTACTCAGCATATTTTTCCAAACCATCAAACCCTCCTTAAGCTTACCCTCTTCACAAAGACCGTTTATTAGTATACTATAACTTATCTCATTGGGTTCACACCCATTATCAATCATCTTTTGCCATGTCAAAATTGCTAGCTGGCTTTTGCCCGCTTTAAAATATCCAAACACTAGAGAGCTGTATGTAAGTACATTTGGTGGGCAATCTTCGGTGGTCATTTTTGAGAGTGCATCCTCAGCCTCATCGACCATATTATGCCTACAGAGACCATCTATAAGAGAAGTGTAAAGAATGGTATTAGGTTTTATACCCTTGCTCTTCATCATCTCCCATACTCTCAATGCCCCCTCAGGATCTCCTGACCGAAAAAGCCCATTTATTAGTGTAGAGTATATGTATTCATTGGGAAGAATTTTTTTCTCAGCCATTAGGCTAAGCATGTCAATTGCATCTGAAGGTTTATTAAGCTTGAAGAGACCATCAATGAGGGTGCCAAAGGTGATCTCATTTGGAGTGCACCCGTCATGGATCATTTGATCATAGAGTGCACGGGCAGAGTCAAGCTTTCCCTTGAGGCAGAAACCATGGATGAGGGTGTTGTAAGTGGCTGAGTTAGGTGGGCAGCCCTTTAGGATCATGTAGTCCTTGATCTTACCAGCGCGTTTCAGGTCGCCAGCCTGGCAAAGGGCATGGAGGATTGAATTGAAAGTCACCGTATTTGGGGGGACTCCTTCGACCTGTATCAACAGTAAAAAAGTTGAAACTTAAGGAAGAACACAAAAGGTTCTCTACTATTTGAGACACAAGATGAAGCACAGGAAGTGGATAATAATTTTATTACTAACATTATAGCAAGTCACAACTACCATTACTCAGTAGTGATATATGTTATTACATGGATAGATGTTGCATTACAGAAAGCCAGGTACAAAGTAATTAATTGTGAATTATAAGTTATTCAAAAGCTCACGAGTTATTTCTGGACTTCTTTTCCCTTTTGAAAATTTCATATACACTTACTATGTAAAAGGTTAAGTTTCGAAATTCAAGAGTTAACTGATAATCCACAAACACTCTTCACAAAAAAAAAATCACAAAGGACTAGTCATCTATATTCACAAGAGTACGCTATAGAGATTATGCCTACAAATTCAAGTGAATGCGAGCCAACCTCACGAGAAAGAAACGTATTGAAAATTGCAGGAATAGATCGTAATCATCCCTAGAGTAAACATGTGTCCTAGAAAGGCCTAATTAACAGTTTATGAAGTTCTGGGCAGCCCATAACCAATGATGCACAGTTATTGAAGTTTCTAAAGTCCTACAGGCCACACGAACCACTCGGCTTCTTCCCACCAAAATTTCCGACGATATCAAAGTTAGAAGACAACAGACGATCATCACTGATGAGTAACCTAGCAAATGTGGCATGAATACTCATGGTTTTCATGTAGCTCGTGGTACCATTAATAACACGGTGGTCACTACTCTACCGCGAAACATTCTACAAACCATTCATATCATAATATAATCAAAAAAGAAAACAATCCGATAGCGAAAATGTGACACAACCTAATCCAATTATTCACCGAAACGAAATGAGCAGTAGCGAATAGTGCGACCATACCTGCATCTCGTCGAGCAAGCCCAGCGCCTGCGAAACATTCTACAAACCATTCATATCATAATATAATCAAAAAAGAAAACAATCCGATAGCGAAAATGTGACACAACCTAATCCAATTATTCACCGAAACGAAATGAGCAGTAGCGAATAGTGCGACCATACCTGCATCTCGTCGAGCAAGCCCAGCGCCT